TTCATCGGTGTATTCAAGAAGAAAATGAAAATGTTTCTGATTACAGTGCACGTTTGCGACATTATGCTTCCACTTGTGACTTTGGTCAGTTCTTAAACCGTTCTCTGCGTGATCAATTTATATGCGGAATTCGTAATTCAGCTACTCGGAAAAAGTTACTAAATGAAGACCGTACTTTTCAAGATGTGCTAAAAGTGGCCATAGCTGATGAAGTTGCTAGTAAGGAGACTTTAGCATTTCAAAACAATACGAAACCAGTGAACGAATCTGTGCATACTGTGCATGGTAGAAATCAAATTCCTGATAAGTTTTCAAATAGCAGGAATACATCAAATTCCAATAACCTAAGACCACCATTGCCTACCGCCCAGAAATTTTCATATGCCTGTTATTCCTGTGGAGGTACTGAACATTCTCGGGCCCAGTGTAGATTTAGAAATGTTGTATGCAGCCGATGTAAGCGGATTGGTCACATTGCTCGTGTTTGCAAGAGAGGTAACATGCAAAATAACTTTGTTGAACAGAAACTGAGTTCAGATGATGTGTTTCTTGAGGAAGAATTATTTACGGTTTTTGATGTTAACTCCCTATACAAATCAGAAATTTCCGTACCCTTGAAAATTGAGAATCAAGAGTGTTCCTTACAATTAGATACTGGTTGTGCATTGTCCTTGGCCCCCCAAACCTTCTATGAGCAATTTTGTTCCCATATCCCTTTAAAACCTACTGCAGTGAGATTATCTACCTATACCGGTGAAAAGATTCAACCTTTGGGACAAATCAATGTTAATGTTACTTATGCTGGAACTAAGCACTCTCTTCCATTACTGGTAGTACCACAGGGCTCTGGTCTGAAAATTCGAACAGATATGGAAACACCTCGGGTACTAGTAGCAACGATTCTGTAGAAAAGAACGATAATCAAAACTCTGTTACTGATAATTCAAGTGCGAATAACACAGGTTCCGCTGAAAGACGTTATCCGTTAAGAGCTAATCGAGGAAGAACAGATCATTAACTTTAAAGAACTTTTACGTTATTATCGTTGACAATTTATAGTTAATTTAATCGTTATGAACAGAGACTTTTGTTAGAAAGGGAAATGTGATATATTGCGCATGCGCTTTGGGGGTTTTAGGAACATGTGCGAGAGCGATAAAGCAAAGGTTGTTGTTCAGTTTTCTAAGGACATTAAAAGTCGAGTTTGAGTTGTATAACAGTGCATTTCTGAGGATATAACAGGAGGGACAACTTTTGTCCACGTAAACAATTTGTCTCGGCCTCCACGGATAAATTTTCATTCCCTGATTCCCAGGCCATCAAACAAATAACTGCATGTTTCAGGAGTCATAATCTCACATTTATAGAGCCATTCTTGTAGGAGGGGATACAGTGCCAGGGCTAGTGTTTCTCATATAGCCGTGTGATAAAGTTGTCTCAGGGGGTAGGGTTGCCCCTAGGCCTATAGTATATGAGATGCATAAATGTTGGTTTTCAGACTGCAATAGGCAAGATGAAAGTCTGCTAAGAAATTTGACAAAATCGTTCATAAATTGGCAATATATTAATATTATTGTATATTGTGAATCGTTCGATGTTATGCTTGCCATATTCGAAATCATTTCGCTGTCCCAGAAAACATCATCCTTTATTTTTGTCTTAACTTTATCAACATGGATTTTAACTACTCATGTGTTAGCGATATCTTCGATGATTAAACTTTCTCTTTCCCCGCTGTAATTCTGTTCCCATGTTTTGCATTTTTATGTCTCGTCTAGCCACCTTTCGACTTGCAAATCCTGTCGCAATTTACGCACGGAAAGTTACAGTATTTTCGCCTGATATTTCGCTCACAGCGTTTGCGACCTCCTCTTCCATAGTTGCTTCGACTTCTTCAATAAAAGATAACGCAATTTCAAAATTATAAGGGAAATATCCTCGCAGGTTTCTTCATGTTCAAAATAACACCAACTCCTCGACAATATTGCTCGAAAAACTTTCGCCTTCCAATTCCCAGGGAATCGATACAATCGCATCTAAATCGTCGTCCATAACTCTTCTACGACATGACTTTAGTTTAGCACAAAAATAAATGTAATTAGCGCTGTTATTTCGAGATGAAACATGAAAACATTGGAATCTATAATATAGTCATGCACTAAGACCGTCACGTGACATCTTTTTCCTTTGATCCTCAACATAGTTTGCCGCCGTCGCCTAATCCCTTTGAAGTTTGCCGGCTAGCCAAACCATCCTATTTTATTAACTGTGATTATACTGTAGGCTAAATATCCGCACTTAAAATTCGGATATAAATCCTGTCATATTCTACAGTACAGTATTTGAATTTGAGATAATAAAACTGCATCATAAACTTACCATTTCATTGCCGAAAGGGTTTCTTTTTGCCAATATGTATAGGCAACCCTGGGAGCATATTGACAAAACCTCAGGCGCGTTCCAACAAAATGAAGATGATATCTTGGGAGGTTTAAGTTTTTTTGTCTCCGGCAAAATACTTAAACGAACAGAACATGTTTATAGCATAACCCAACTCTATTTATAGTGTCAATTTTAGCACGCAACAGTCATTTATATACAATATTATGTACATTAACAAGACGCTCTATGGATTGTGTTTTTCGTGGATGATTTTTAGGTTGCATGTACTGTACAATTGAGATGCCAAAATGCCAAAAATACAGATATGTTTTAGTTATTTAAAAAATTGCCGTAAAAGCGTCCTCCTGGCATTACATATAGCTCAGGTATAATGCCATGTTCAGCACTGGACTCTAATAGAGTCAGGTGTACAGTAGGTGGAAAAGATTTAAATTTTTATTTCAAGCTCTTGATCCTTTAGCGACTCCGTGACTTATCCGCTTCCTGCTTTCCGACTCGGCTGGCTTCCGACATTGGAGGAACAAACAATTAAATGTTCTGAAATTAACACACAAAGGCAAAGCTCTTTATGACGATTTCTGGCCGAACTACTAGCAGATAGTTAGACATGACCCATCCTCGTTCCCAGTACCTCACGGCCGTGCGCGACTTTCATGACCCCGGTTGAGAATTACGATCAAGTGGGGCACCACTACGTCAAATTTCTTTAGTCAAAGTAACTTTTCAAGATGCTGCAGCAAGTTTATTTAATGAAATGCCAATTTAGACTACACAAATGAAGAATATCAAGTTAAAAACCCAAAAGAAAATTTTACCTTAAATAATCAAATAAGATAATTTCCTTCTCTTCTAGATTAAATGCCGATGCAAACACACTGGAAATCTCTCTTGATACATCATTTGCTTTCCATGCAGCATTTATGGATATCTTCCCTGTCAATCCCAGCTCAGCCAAATTTGCTCGCTTTGCACCACGGGGTATTGGTATCTCATACAGGCCACTGGATGGCAAGATACATACAATGTACTTTGTATATATCTTAGCTGGCTTTGGCTGACATGCCCCAGATCGTTTTCTTTTTCCACGTCCAATTCCACCAACAACTGATGGGAGATAAAACTGTTTTGGAAGTAACAAAAGCTCTTGATTACTATTTTTACCTATTTTGTTTCATAAGAGAATAATTATGGCCTTGATATTTTTTGTGTGTGTTTTTATGTTATTTACTCAGGTGAATATAACGTTTTTTATGTTACTCTGAGTGTACATCCACACCGGACAGGCTGAATTAAAGTTAGCCTGGCCACAGCGGCACGGTGGGAATCGAACCCGCGACCTTTGGGATACTATAGTCCAATGCTCTGCCAACTGAGCTACAAGGCCAAGTCTGTCCCACCTCCAAGGCCAAGTCTGTCCCACCTCCAAGGCCAAGTCTGTGCCACCGTGGTCAGGCTAACTTTAATTCAGCCTGCCCGGTGTGGATATACACTCACAGTAACATAAAAAAAAAACATCACAATTATGGCCTTGTCTATGAATAAAAAAAATTGAAAACATACAGGGTGTAAAAGGTCTTAATTGATCACCACACTTAATTGATGGTGATCTCAATGAACCACAGTTAATTAAAGCATGTATAAACCCATTAAGTGACATCACTTTCCCTTTGATTCGGTAAAATTGTCTGGTGTTAGACAAATTAAAATACTAAAGTCGGGTACATGCAGTAGGGCGACAAGTTAAAAGGTTTATATGTTTAAAATAGTAAAAAACACTCTAAAAACTTAAGAATTATTACTCTGACAAACTCCCTTAATGTGATGATATCATTTCTTTAACCCATTGAGTGGCAGCATTCTCGACTTGACAAGTGAAATCGTCTGGCGTTAGACAGAGCAAAGCACTAAAGTAGGGCGCATCCAGGTGCATTGCCACTTAAAGGGTTAATATAATTTTTTAAAGTCAAGACATCAACATAAATTCATCCAGGGCCATGATCATAGTCTGTTATGCCACTGGCAATCATAATGGTGTGATTAAGATTTGACTTCCACTACCACTATTGCTACTATTAAGGGACCATGAACCAATCAGATGTGTTCCATGCTGCAGAGTATGGCGCTTTTCAACAAGATCTTGGAAGTGTGTGAAGATGCAAATTTCAAACCCTTTCCAACCTTGGTAAATAATGGGACAGATATGGTTGTGTTGAGCAGTGGGGAGTTATTGCAGTTTATCTTATAGTGAACCCCAGTAAATGCATAATGCCTTTGTTAATAGTGAAAACACTTTATGCTGATGGAAGATTTGACTCTCCCCCCCCCCCCAAAAAAAAAAACCCCATAATTTTTAGTATTTGCAGCAAAAAGGGTAACTTAGGCTAAGGCCATTAATTCTAGCTCGTAAAAGTATTTTCATTTAATATTTATGTATATAATATTCTCTCTTAGAGCTAGCTATGATTCTCGCTTGAGTTAAGTATACTAAATCATCTATAATATGTACCACATGAAGTACATTCTTTGTCACAATAACCGTATGTCATGTGCAAGAGCGATCTTTTATGTGTATAGTAAATACAGGGTTCGAAATAGCTGTTGAATAGTTTCATGACCTTGCCGGCAATTTTTAAATCCAAAGGACCATGCCAGTGATTGATTTAAACTCCAGTTTAAAGTCAATTTTTAAAATTGAAATTATGGTTATACTTTTCATTTCTGTGTTTATGTTATACAGTGTACTTGAAACCGAGGATATTCTTCGTACACGAAAAACGTGTATTGTCTTGGCCTAAAAACATTCAGGAATGCGACACAGTTCTAATCAACATTTGCTTATCTTTTGTTGAATGCTCATTAGTATGCGCTATATACAGTACAGCAGAGCAAGTTAATGAGTTATATTACTTATATATAGACCCACTGCAATTGCTATAAAGGTCATTACGAGACAGTTTATGGGAATGGGATCGTCTTAGTGTATATCAGCGGAATGGGATATAGACTGCCGAAATACTGAGATCTGATTGGCTGAGTGGTGCGATCATGGTTTGTGATAAAAACTCCAGGAAGAAGCATATTTCATCATTGCATTGAATTTTTAAATGTAAGACGTGTTTGGGAGACCTATGATAAAAGCTGGAAAATAGAATAAAACTAGTAGTCACTAATACTAAAAAATATGAATAAATCTTACCGCATTCCCGCTACATGTCTGTCGACTAGTACCCGCATGAACAGCAACCTGCGAAAATTGCCTTGTACTTGTACCTGTTATATTTGGCAGTCGACTTTGAGAATTCGATTGTCTTTGTTCCTAGTATTAAACAACATAAAATTTGTAATAAATACAGTTTACAAACCGGTCGACAATCGAAGATAAAACACTGAATAATTCAATTCTTATTCTTCATTACTTCAATATTTCATATTAATTTGCAGTTTATCGAGGCATAAAATTATTCATATTTAAAAATATGCATACATGTTTTCACTCTACCTGCGCTGCCACTGTGCCGTTGTTTTCTATCCCTTGCAAAGTTGAACTTATCACCCTTGTTATAGCGTCTGTCAATGCTGTGGTCAGAGTTTGAGAATTCGACGTGCTGCACGCCATATTGAATTGTTGGCAAAAGAGCGCCAAATTAAGAAGGATCACGATGTAATCACGTGATTTACTTCTGGGCATATAATAAGATTCGCCAAGTGTGAAGAAACTATTTTTCTTTATTTAATCGATGTTCGCCAAGTGTGAAAAAATTATTTTTCTTTATTTAATCGATGTTCGCCAAGTGTGAAAAAATTATTTTCTTTATTTAAGTGATGTTCGCCAAGTGTGAAGAAACTATTTTTCTTTATTTAATCGATGTTCGCCAAGTGTGAAAAAATTATTTTCTTTATTTACTCGATGTTCGCCAAGTGTGAAAAAATTATTTTCTTTATTTAAGTGATGTTCGCCAAGTGTGAAAAGAAAAATTGGTTATTTAATATAACCAAATTACGTTTCGGCCACTAATTTTGGTTATTTAATATAACCAAATTTTGCGACGGTAGTTGTTTTGGTTATTTAATATAACCAAATTTTGCGACGGTAGTTGTTTTGGTTATTTAATATAACCAAATTTTGCAAAGGTAGTTGTTTTGGTTATTTAATATAACCAAATTACGTGTCGGCCGCCAATTTGGTTATTTAATACAACCAAATAAATCAGATAAAAAGTGATGGCATTTACGTTAAATAATAAATTCACAATTAAGATTACGATGCCCCTGGCCCCCCTGTAGTGTTATTTATAATCTCTATGGTGGTGTCGCCATATTTTCTTTCAAAATCAATCCACACCATTTTATATGTACATGTATAAAGTTCCATGTGAAAGCATTCAAAGCAACATACTGCACTTTGTCTTTGATTTATTTTCAGTCTTTATAAACAAATGTTTGCCACTCTACTAGCAGAATCATCACAAAATATAGTTTCGCAAAATACAGTTTCGCAAAATGCAGTTTCGCAAAATGCAGTTTCGCAAAATGCAGTTTCGCAAAATACAGTTTTGCAAAATACAGTTTCGCAAAGTTTCGTTTCGCAAAATACAGTAAGCCTAGGTATGCAAGTTCATCAAAACTAAATTTGGTCAATCATATATCACTCATGTATGGTTGAAAAGATCAGACTTTGTTTATGCAATTGTTTCTATGTGAGATATTGCCATTTTGGTGAAAGCTTGGAATTCAATCATGAATTCGCCATATTGCTTGTAAAAGCTTGCCAGTTAATGAGTTAAAATAAATAAATTTAGTTTTCTTTATGTGCTTTATATCAAAACAATTAGACAACTCAGCCTTGTTGTCTCTGAGCAAATAGTCAACTCAGCCTTGTTGGTTATTCGCTCATGGATAACTCAGCTTTGTTGTCTAATTGTTCAATTTCTGACATGTGGAGTTGAAAATGAGCTGAACCAAACTTAGGATGGCCAAAATATTTGAACTATTCAAAGTATGGCTTATTTACAATATTGGGGAAGCCATTATAGAGGCCAATTTGACTCCATTGAATATACTTTCACTCCTGTTTGTTTACTCAATTTTTAAACGAAATTATTAACTGTTTAATAATCAGAAACAAATTGTAGCAATTTCGATGCTACAGCATGTATCATTTTATATAAGTTATAGTAATTACATTTATATTGCATTGATTTCAATTAAACCGTTCGTGTCATGTTAGCAAATTATTGCATAAGCGGAAAGGAGCAGAAGGTGATTGACGGGATTGAGAACACTGAGACATACAAGTATAGTTTAAAAGTTCAGTTTCATCAGGATCATCACATCATCATTTAGATTCAAAGTCAGAGGCTTGTTTTTTCAGATATTTCCATGGCACAACCAAGATAAAGGAGTGCTTTGAGGGTTAAAGATGGTTCACAAAGTGCTCGTCAACGAAGGTAAGATGAGGAGCAGTTGAGGATTATTTGTGATTTGATTTCTTTCTCAACACAGGTAAATTTGCAAGTTGAGGCCAGTTGGCACAGACAAGTGGTAAATTGATTGAGCGTCTCATGTTGTTGTTGGCGAGGTTGACAACAGGTATATTTCTTTATTGTCGGCGGTCCATCTCTTTCTTGCAGTCTTTCTTGTCACTGGTATCTGTTAAGGTTTAGAACATGTCAAATGCTGATGAGCCAATATAGTACAAAAGAAGTGCAGGTTTGCATGTCTCATCAATATCCATGGCAAGAAGAAAATTGTCAAACTTTTTTCCATTTAATCCAGCGTTGACCGGTCACGGTGGGGGTCGTCTTCAACATTCAATGGAGGAAATGGTGGTAAAGATGAGGCCATAGTGGATGTGGAGATATTTTGATCCTCGTCACCAATGTAGTATTCTTAGGGACCAGTCATTAAATACAGGGCAGGGGGGCTGGTGGAAAAGAGGAAGGTGAGATATTTTTATGCATGAAAAGGGGGGGGGGCAAAATTTTTTGTGCAATACACATACCTGCCTCGCATGATCCTGTCGTATCATAAAACCTACAAATAAAAAATAGAGAGCAGTAGAACTGTAGTAAACTCCAACACAACAGTCCATTTATTAAACTGATTTCTACATCAACGTAGATTGGAAAAGCCATTGACTCAATGGTAAAGAATATATAAATTATGATACATGTCTATAAGGCATAGTTGCCAACTCTCGGGGATCTACCATGAACATCACAGATTTTATTAAAACCTCACGGTGAGCTCACAGCTTGTTAATATCTCACAGATTTTGAAAATAACTCAACTGGTTCTTAAATGTTGGCTTTGTTACGCATTTTAACTATTACAGCTCGAACAGGCAAACCAAGGCCGCTTTTGCATATTTTCAGTGTTTTCCAACTAACCAAAACCAACCCCCTGTGGGTTATTTTGACTAAATATTTTACGGTCATGAACTTATGACATAGCTATAAATCTAAATAACGTGCTGGTGATTGGTTTTGGCTTAGTTTGAAAACATTAAAAATACATAAAATTGGCCTCAGTTTGCCTGTTTGAGCTGTAAGAGTTACTTAATTTGCACCAAATAACATAAAACTTTTTTCTGAAAAAAATTCATGCCATTAAGCCAAAAATAGATAATCAAAACATCACTTCATGCAACCTCATAGTTGTGGGTATTCAACAATATGGTTTTGTATATCTAAATAAAAGCTACCAAAACTTGTGTGTATAAAGTACAGAAGACTCTGAAAATGCCATTTCCAACGATTTAGAGAATCCATATTTTCAAAATATTTTCACTCTCTGCCAACTATGGTGGTGCCTCATGGGCCCCCCAAAAGCAAAATCTCACAGATGTGTTTTTCCAAAAGTTGGCAACTATGATAGGGTATAGTTTCATATTAATCTGACACTCCAATCGAGCAACGAAAAATTTGTTGGCTGGAGCGGGATTTGAACTTGCGTCTTCGGGTATCTAGACCACCGCTCTACCTATTGAGCTATCGAGTCAACAGGGATTGGTAGCGAGTCTTATCCAATTTAAGTGCACAAAATATTTTCAAGACGACTTTAACACTTGTCTTAGAGGACGCGCAGTGTTTCAATTCTACGAAAAACTAGTTCTATGAAAAACTAGCTACCAATCCCTGTTGACTCGATAGCTCAATAGGTAGAGTGGCGGTCTAGATACCCGACGATGTGAGTTCAAATCCCGCTCGAGCCAACAAATTTTTCGTTGCTCGATTGGAGTGTCAGATTAATATGAAACTAATTTTTCGTATCTCTGAGGATGGTTCTGAAATAGAATTGAAACACTGCACGTCCTCTAAGACAAGCGTTAAGTCATCACGAAAATGTTTCGTGCACTTAAATTGGATAAGACTCGCTACCAATCCCTGTTGACTCGATAGCTCAATAGGTAGCAGAGCGGTCTAGATACCTGAAGATGCGAGTTCAAATCCCGCTCAAGCCAACAAATTTTTCGTTGCTCAATTGCAGTGTCAGATTAATATGAAACTAGTTTTTCGTATCTCTAAGGATGGTTCTGAAATTATAGGGTAGTATGATTAAATGTGGCTTCACTTTATAAGAACGTTTAAACATGCCTTTTGTTATTTACATGTGTGGGGCGTCAAGTATAATTGTGTTATCCTCAAAAGGGGGCCAACAAAATTTTAGCATCTAATTGTCATTTCCACCAGCCCCCTGCCCTGTAATTAATGACCGTGGAATGCTAGCTGTATACAAGTGACATCACATAAGTACATGACGTCAGGTTATTACAAGCAGCTTCAGTCATCCATTTGGCCCAAGTACCTAAGTGAATTTGGCACAACCTTCTGTTATAACAAAGTTTATAAGGGAAGGATTAAGACTTCATCAGAATATGTCACCATTCAGTTCATCAAAGGCAAATTTCGAAAGTATGTTAATGATGATGGGACAATTTGTGCAAGAGTTGATGACATCGAATTGTCATTGCAAGCTGAGTGCCTGGTTCACTTCGAGTTCCACATAAGTAATGGCAAATTAATGTTACTGGACATTCAAGGGGCAGGTATGATGTTGTGTGTTCCAGAAATAGTATCTTGCAAGTTGTTATCAGAAGGCCACCTGTACATGTACTGTGCCAGTAATATGTCATTAAGGGAATTGAAAAATTAAAAAACAATCACACCTGCAACAAATATTGCCAAGCTCTTGCTTTACCTACTTTATATAGTCTGGTGTATTAGAACAACATAACATTACTTTAGTTCACATTTTATAGTTTGAAACTTGCAAAGTTTTATCTCTGCTATATATGCATGCTATTTTGAGTATTGTTGAAATTGGTTATTAACTATTTGTTCTGTTTGTAAAAGACTGAGTGACTACAATAATGCAACTCATGGCTCTTCCTCTGAATGATAAATTTTCCTTAGGATATATCTAACAATCTCCAAATCATGACAATTACATCAGAAACAAGTCGGCTCACAATCTTAAGAAGGTGCAAGTTCATTGGTTGTTGGATAATTATTGGTATCTCAAGCAATTTACGGATACAATTGTCGACAATTGAATCAAGGTACAAAGGCAGAAAAAATGTGCAAAATTTTTGCCTATAAATTTTGAGGCAAAGTAAAAAAAACAAACTTGCCTAAACTTTCAATAATCTGGGTGGAGTTCAAAGTTTGATACTCGCTTTAAAGAGGCACGAAAGGTAAAAACACAGGGCATTTTTTAACATATAGACTGGGGGGGGGGGCAAGGCCACCCAGCCCCAATGTTGCCTCCCCCCCCCAGTTAACTATTTTGACCACCCCAGTCAAAATCACTTTTTTGAAAAATGAAGAATCGTTTAGTTCAAGAGAATGTATTAGCAGTTTGTTTCTCAGTTTAGTGTATTTTCCAGTTTAAAGCTAGATTACAAGTCCATTCTGCGCATGTGTGGGTTTTGTTTACATTTTTTGTTTTGGTTTGAATCCACTTCAATTGTATAATATGAAGTATAGCGGCTATGCACTAAATAAATGAAGGAGTCACAGTCAGGAGTGGAGTTTTTTTTTTTTTAATTGTCTTCTGAAAGACAAGCAATTAAATATTTTGAAAGATCACCAATGGAAGATATATTGTTGATCAATTTGGCATTTGTTTTTTGTATGCCTTGTTGATGAAACATTCTGAAGGGACTGACACAGCAAAGGCAAAGGTGCGAGTCCGCAACTCATTGTGTTGATTTATAATGTTCAGCATTGTAAAATAAACTTTGAAAGTGTCAAAGTAATCATGAATCTTTCCTTGGGATATTTGTTCGACGAAACACATTGACAATGTGTTTCGTCAATTGGAAACAACCAATATATTGACATATTGGCTGGTGAACAATGCCCTTCCTGTACATCTGTGGATCACATACATGACTTAAGAGTTCTTCATATACAGTTTGTCGAAGAGCAGAGTGCGAGTGTCATTGAAGGCCGTTTATTTAATAGAATGCCGAAACGGAAGCATTCGCACACAGAGACTTCAAGTGTCCATTACCATGTGGTAGGCAGCCAAGTCATTACCATGTGGTAGGCAGCCAAGTCATTACCATGTGGTAGGCAGCCAAGTCCAAGTAAAGTTTACCCAAAAAGTTTATCAATAACTGAAATGCTCAAATTAGGAAAGGTTGTGGATGATCAGATTGGCACCGCGCCAATAGAACTGTTCACATTTCACATTGCTTTACAGTCAACTCGGCCCACTAAACAACTCGGCCCACCATTCAAGGACCAACTCTGCCAGCTCGTAAACTGACTCATCTAACCACTAAACAAGCTAGGAGCCATGACTGCAATCTATCTTTGCAAATTTTGAGAGAGATTTGAATGATCAGTAATTTAGTATCAAAACAGACAGATCAAGAATTTGAAACTTCGATAGATTCTTAATTAAATTATGTCAAACTGGATGTTCACAAACTTTACTCATCTGTACGCCCAATGCAACTGCAAATGGCTGTATTGGTTTGGTGCTATCCTGTGTAAAATATTAGCTTTCCTAATATGTCAAACTGTAGTTATAACAATTGGGCCAAGATGGTATGGGCCGAGTTGGTCAGTGGGCCGAGTTGACCAGCTTCCTTTGACATCGATGCAATGACTTGGTCTCGCAATTCTTCAACGGTCGAATTCTCGATTGAAAAAGAGCCATTTGGTATCGGAGGCTTTTGAGAAGCATTCAAAGCGTGAAGCAAGACACATGGATTTGCCAACATCACTTGGGTTGTAAAAAAATACCTGAAGTCTGCCGAAGATACAATCGCAGAGACAGATCAAACGGTTGAACAGCATACACGAAAAGTGGTGCAAATGCACATGTTAGCAAGAAATTTCGCTTGGAAACTTGATCAACACATAGAAAAAGAAGATATTAGGGAAATGTTTGGGCAAACCCTCAAGTTCAAGAAGGTGTACCTGGGCAAAATTCAAGATAACAAATGTGTCACAGTCGAAGGCACATTTAAAAAATATCTTAATAACAATGGTATGTTGTGTGATCATGATACATCAACCCTGCAGAAAAAGTGTGAAAATTTAGCTCATTTTTTATACGAACAGTCCAACCATGAACTGATCATAGTCGACATGCAGGGAAGTGGGTACTCTCTTTTTGATCCTGAAATTGCCTCAAAGAATTTGCGAGATGGAGATGAGCTTCTTTTTTCGACTGGGAACTTGTCCATAAAATGGACAACATAACCATGGCCATAAAAAATTTCGTTGAGAATCATATTTGCAATGACTTCTGTACCCTATTGGGTTTGAAGAAGCTGTAAATTTTCCAGAACTTTACATCAAATTATATGAAGTTTAACACATTTTGATTTTAATACTGTTTTGTTAAATTTTGTTCTTGCAGTTGGTAAAAGAGTAACTGTTCAAAACCAAACTGAAAAACTTTATCAAAGATGTAGACATTACAGTAATTTGTAAAAGTTTAATAATCATTTTAATGATATTAATATATATGAAATATTTTAATAACAAAGAACACATGTGCAGATTACATATTGTTAACAC